AAAAAAAAAAAAAAAAAAAAAAACGAAATAGAGAAAAAATAGAAAATAGACAATTGTTCTGTGTAACGATTAATATTGATACAATCGCAGAAAATTAGGAGAAACATAATAAAGTGTTTCGCAAAAAAGCTTTTATTTACATTTGTTCCTCTTTCTTCAGCGCTATGCTTTTTTCTTTAATCTAAAATCGCAATAAAATCCCACAAAATCGCATTCACATTGATCACCATCTTGCTGTGGAATGTTTCACATAATAAATACAGCTTTCGACATAAATTAAAAACAAGTCTTGCATTTACAACTGAGAATTATGAGGAGGGGATGGAGGTTAGGTGTGTGTTGTGTGTGTGTGTGTGTGTGTGTGTATGCGTAATGTGTAATGAACATGTGGTACGTATATGATCGGTGTGTACATGAATATTTGAAGCACGCGCTCGTGCGCGCAATGTATTACTGTCTGTTTGCACGTGAACCTCGGTGCACGTTGGATAGAATCTGCACAGAGATTCTATCGCAACAAATTTATATCTACTCACGAGCTCGTATACCTTATTTACAATGTCCATATAAACATATACACTGCGCTGACCACTTATTTAACCTATTACCGATATTACGAAGTGAAGAAGGTAGAAAGTACTGTTTTGTACCGTAGGTTCAATGTGAAAGGAACGCGTACTTACACATAAAATAAGATGACTTAAAAAAAAAAAAAACAGAGAGAAAGAAAAAAAAGAGAAGGCCAAGGAAAAGAAAGAGTATATAGAATAAGTGGATTAAGCACAGAGGAATTAACAGAGGGACGGGGGAGGGAGAGGGATGAAAGAAAAAAGGAGGAAAATAGACAGTGGAAGGAACAGAAGAAAATATGCTGGCCTGTGCGCGAAGTTCAATCCTTCGTATGTGGTGTCTCCGACGCGGAGAGGAAACATCGTTACATCGTGCTGGTCGCTCGACATTGAATTCGTTTAACAGAAATCGCTGATATCCGTCTCTACGAGCGCAGTAGCATCTACCGGCTACATCGACGTAACTTAATATGTAACAGGGAATTCTTAATCCAACCCTTAACTGCTAAATCAATCTTACAATTGGACTGAGTGATAAATTATTATCGACTGTACAACGCCGTTAGTCTTTTTTCTTCTCTTCTTCTTTTTCTTTTACTTTTAACTTCTTCAACTTCATCGTCGTATCCTCGTCTTCTTGTTCTCAAGCACAAGACACT